GGGGATGTGGGGACCCTGGTTGGGAGGCAGGGTCTGGCCTGGCCCCTCCATCCCCTCTGCACCTCTGCCCCAGCACCATCCTGGTGGAACCAGGTTGCCAGGCAGAGGTGACTGAGACTGGGGACATCCGAATCTCCGTGGGGGCTGAGGCCCCCAGCACAGTGGGCGCCCAGCTTGACCCCATCCAGTTGTCCATCTTCTCGCACCGCTTCATGAGCATTGCTGGTGAGTGGCGGCCGCCATCCTTCTCCAAGGCCCTGCTCCCTGTGGTGTAGGGCGGTGGGTCTGCATATTTGGCAAAGGTAGGCATAGGCAGTGTGGCTGGCAGGGTTGTGCAGAAAGAAAGTATGACCCAGAGGAAGGGGCAGAAGCAGAGTCCCTGCTGGCGACAGGGTGGGCAGTGTGGTCCTGGCCCTGGGATGGCAGAGCCTCGCTGCACCAGCAGGCCTTGGGCAAGGTGGGCACCTTCCTCCTACCAGCAGCCGAGTGATCTGTGATTGCCAACCTGTATGAGCAGGAAACAGGCTCAGCACAGTGAACCTGTCTGTGCAGGGTTAGGCTGGGGGCCTGCTGGGGGCCTCAAAGCCTGTGCCTTGGCCCCAGGTTCTTACTGTGCTATGCAGGGCGGAGGGTTGATGTGGGCACCAGGTTCTTGCTGGGGCTCCAGGCAGGGGTGAGGAGGAAGGGGGTGAACCCCACACAGGCAAGACATGGCCTGGCCACAGCCTCACTGTGTGGGCCACGGCTACCTTTGGGTCCTGGGACTGTGCCTCAGGGGCCTTGAAGGTGGCAGGTGCTGCCTCTCCACATCCTGGGTCCTGCTGTGGGTGGGTTGGGGCCAGCGGGCGCCTGGTCACTCTGTGCCCCCAGAGCAGATGGGCCGCATCCTGCAGCGCACAGCCATTTCCACCAACATCAAGGAGCGCCTGGACTTCTCCTGTGCCCTCTTTGGGCCTGATGGGGGGCTGGTCTCCAATGCCCCCCACATCCCTGTGCACCTGGGCGCCATGCAGGAGACGGTGCAGTTCCAGGTTCGGCGGGTCCCCCTCCCTGCCCTCTCTCCCCTGCCCCCTCCCTGCCCCCTCCCTACTCTGTACCTGTCTCCTGGCTTCAGATCCAGCACTTGGGGGCTGACCTCCACCCTGGCGATGTGCTGCTGAGTAACCACCCCAGCGCAGGGGGCAGCCATCTGCCTGACCTGACTGTCATCACACCGGTGAGGAAGCTGCCTGGGCACCCAAGGGGCAGGGTGGCTGACCAGCTGATGCCTGAGTACCTGGGGGGCAGGGCAGCCTACCAGTTGACTGTTGCTCTCCACTCCTAGGTGTTTTGGCCGGGTCAGACGAGGCCTGTGTTCTACGTGGCCAGCCGTGGGCACCATGCAGACATTGGGGGCATCACACCAGGCTCCATGCCCCCCCACTCCACCACGCTGCAGCAGGAGGGTGCTGTTTTCCTGTCCTTTAAACTCGTCCAGGGGGGCGTCTTCCAGGAGGAGGGTGAGCGGGAGTGGGGCTGGGGTCGGGGGATGGGGATTCAGTGGGCTGGTACACATGGCTACTGCCTAAGCCAGGCCAGGCCAGACACTGGGATGCAGCCCACTGGCCCAGGCCTGCCTTGAGGCTGGGGGAACTGGGCAGTGACACCATGGGGAGGTTGCAGATCATCTCTCAGAGATGATCAGAGTGGCTGAGATGAGTTCTGCTTGGGCCCAGGAAGGCCTCAGTGGTTTTGGGGTGGAGAGTTGCCAGGATACCAAAGGGCCTGGGTGTAGGAGAGGGAGGAGCCTATTTCAAGGAGGGCAGCTGCTTGTGGTGTTGACAGTCTGCACTGGGTTTGCTCTGGGTCTGGGGGCTGCAGAGAAACAGTAGGGTCAGGGGCCAGGGGCTGTAGGCTCTTGGCAAGCTCTCCTGGGCCTGGGCCTGGGCCTGAGTCATTGGGTGGTGGGGCGACAGGGTGCCTGTGAAGGGCTTCTCAGTCTGCCTTTGCACCCTGAGAGCCCCCTGCTTGTGTGCAGAGTGGACAGGGTTTCTGAGGGTGGCCTGGAGGCTGGCATGGGGAGTGGGGTGGGGAAGCTGCAGGCAACCTGGATGATGCTGAGCCTCAAGCTGGGCAGCAAGGTGGGCTGGGGACAACTGTTTGGAGATTGAGGTGGGTACTTGATGGGATTTGGGAGCAGAAGTCAAGTTTGGACAGCTGGAGGATGGAGGCTCTGCCACTGAGAGGGCACAGAGCAGCTTCAGGGAAGGTGGGGCAGATGCTGTAGTGGAGCCTGAGGGGCAGGGGCAGCAGAAATACAGAGCTGGTCTGAGGCTGCAGGGATCTGGGAGCCTAGGGGTGCGTCTCAGAGTGAGAGGAGGTAACATGGGCAGAGTAGAGGGTGGGGAACAGAGCCACAGGCTGCTATAGGTGCCAAGGACACAAATAGAGTGACCTAGGTCTGGCCACTCCCTTGGTCAATGTGGGGTGGCGGCAGGGGGCAGAGATCATGGGAGGGACATGTGCAGGCACATGACAGAGGACCCAGTGGCCAAGGAACCTCAGAGAGGACTGTGACCCAGACCGGGAGAGGGCTTTCTCGAAGTGGGGAGTGGTCCCTGGAGCCAGGACCTGCACTACTTGCCAGGGGATGGAGGCCTTGTCCAGACCGGTTGGGGGGTGGGCACAGACTCTTTCAAAGCAGTTGGCTGTGGGAGCCAGTGGGGGCCATAGGGCTGAGGGCAGTGTGACAGGGGGAGGGTCAAAGGAATGGTTTTTCTCCTGGGAGAGGAGAGGGAAGCCTGGAAAAGGCAGGAGGGAGTGGGGCCAGGTGGAAGCAGGGCAGGAGGAAGAAGGAGAGAGGAGGGTTTGCTAAGTGACACATCACCCCCTGAGCCCCCCCTCCAGGCACCTCCGGCTCCTGAGAGGTCATAGATATAGCTGCCTGCCCCAGTCCTGGCTGCCATGGGGCTGGGGTGTGGGAACAAGGTTCAGCAGATAGGGGGAGGCTGGGGGCTGGGAGGAGTCAGCAGAGTTGTGGGGAGCCAGTGAAGGGCCAACATGGGGGCCCACAGTGCCTAATGGAGGTGCAGCAGGTGTGGAGCAGGGCACCAGGTGGTCCCGGGGCTTGGAGGGTGGCTCAGAGGTGACCCCATCCATCCAGCGGTAACTGAGGCCCTGAGGGCACCAGGCAAGATTCCGGACTGCAGTGGCACACGGAACCTGCACGACAACCTGTCAGATCTCCGTGCCCAGGTGGCAGCCAACCAGAAGGGCATCCAGCTGGTGGGGGAGCTCATCGGGCAGTACAGTCTGGACGTGGTACAGGCCTACATGGGCCATATTCAGGTGTGCCTGGGGGACAGGAGCATGGAGGCAGCTCTGTGCTTGCCCCCGGGCAGCTGGGTGGGGAGTAAGGGGGGCACCTGGCCCACCTGGAAGGTAGCATGGCTGCCGCTGAACATACACTCTGCCAGGCAAACGCTGAGCTTGCTGTGCGGGACATGCTGCGGGCCTTTGGCACCTCCCGGCAGGCCCGGGGGCTGCCCCTGGAGGTGTCTGCGGAGGACCACATGGACGACGGTTCCCCCATCCGCCTCCGTGTGCAGATCAACCTGAGTCAGGTCAGGCTGCGGGGGCGGGCCCTCCTGGGGCGTCAGGCGAGTGGCCGCCTGGCTGCTGACGACCTCTCCTCTCCCCTCCCCTCCGGGTGGGCAGGGCAGCGCAGTCTTTGACTTCAGCGGTACCGGGCCCGAGGTGTTCGGCAACCTCAACGCACCGCGGGCCATCACGCTGTCCGCCCTCATCTACTGCCTGCGCTGTCTGGTGGGCCGTGACATCCCGCTCAACCAGGTGCGCAGGGCTGTGATGTGTGCGAGCACAGCAGGTCGACTCTAAGCCCCTGGTCCCCCTGAGTGAGCCTGGGGGCGAGGTCAGCCCAACACCCAACAACCGACTGATCCTAGGGGTGCTGGTGGAGGGGGCACGTATGTTTCCCAATTGGGCCTTAGAGCTGGTCCCTCCCCCTACAGGGCTGCCTGGCGCCCGTGCGCGTCGTGATTCCTAGAGGCTCCATCCTGGACCCGTCCCCCGAGGCGGCCGTGGTGGGCGGCAACGTGCTCACGTCGCAGCGCGTGGTGGACGTCATCCTGGGGGCCTTCGGGGCCTGCGCCGCCTCCCAGGTGCGGCGGGCGCGTGGGCGCCGCTCAAACGTGCTTGGGGGGAGGGCTGCGGGCTGGGGGGGGCGGGCAGGGAGCGGGTGCGCCCCAGTCTAGCGCAGCCGCCGCTTGCCCCATCAGGGCTGCATGAACAACGTGACCCTGGGCAACGCCCACATGGGCTACTACGAGACGGTGGCGGGCGGCGCAGGCGCGGGCCCCTGCTGGCACGGGCGCAGCGGCGTGCACAGCCACATGACCAACACGCGCATCACCGACCCCGAGATCCTGGAAAGCAGGTGAGCGGCGCGGGCTGGCGCGGGCCGGGGGCGCGGCCGTGGCGGGCCGCTCTGAGCTCCTGGCCCGCGCAGGTACCCGGTCATCCTGCGCCGCTTCGAGCTGAGGCTGGGGTCCGGGGGCCGCGGCCGCTTCCGGGGTGGCGATGGCGTCATCCGCGAGCTGCTGTTCCGCGAGGAGGCGCTGCTGTCGGTGCTGACCGAGCGCCGTGCCTTCCAGCCATACGGCCTCCGCGGTGAGCGCCTCCTCTCCCTTCTCCCTGCCATCCCTCTCTCCCATGCCGGCCGGGTCTGTTTCCCACTTTCCGCCCCATCTCCCCACCAACCTCCTGTGTCTCTCCCTTCCTTATCTCCTGGGCCACCCGGTACCTCGTATCTTCACGCAGGGGGTGAGCCCGGCGCCCGTGGCCTAAACTTGCTGATCCGCAAGGACGGCCGGACTGTGAATCTGGGTGGGAAGACGTCGGTGTCCGTGTACCCCGGGGTGAGGATTGCGGCCTGGCACGTCCCATCACCCGCCCCCCCCCCCCCCCCACAGCGGCCTCTGTTCCTCAGAGAGAGAACAGAGTTGCAAATATAACCAGAGACTGAGTTTAATTTGGCTCCCGAAGGACGGAGGGGCCGCGCACCGGGCCTCGGTGGTCCAGGCCAGCCGCTATGGATGCGCTGACCCGGTGGGGGATGGGACTGCAGCGGGAGGCAGGGCGGGGTCCATGCCCGCGCTGAATCTGGTTCTCTGCTCCACAGGACGTATTCTGCCTCCACACACCAGGCGGCGGGGGCTACGGGGACCCGGAGGACCCCGCCCCACCACCCGGGTCGCCCCCGCAGCCTCCAGCCTTCCCTGAGCGCGGCAGCGTCTATGAGTACCGCAGGGCCCAGGAGGCTGTGTGAGAAGGGCCCACATAATAAAGATCCCTTAAGCCGCCCTGTTCCCACGGCGACTGGCCGGGCTCACGCTCTGCGTCCTGTCCGTCTTCCCACCGGCCTCACACCTGTTGCCTTCGTGCCTGCTTTAGGAGGACATCGAAACTCGGAGCCGAAGTCCCACGGCCAGGTGGTCTGTGAGCCCCGCCAGGGCGGTGCTGAATGTCACCTGTTCCACCTCCTGGGGATGGGAGTCAGGTTAAGGAGTTGCCACAGCGCCCGCCGGCCCAGTGCCCTGAGCTCTGGCACTTACTGGGTTCAGCGGGCCTCCGGGCACTCCCCGGTATGTGATGTAGTCCAGGCGCCGGCCCCTCCAGGGCTTAGCCCGGTGGCCTCCTCTGGGAGGGCCTGCCAGGTAACGGTGGCGCCCTTCCTCCTGCTCCAGGGCCCTGAGGAGGGGCGGTGTCACAAGGCCAGGGCACTCTCTGTTCCAGGCGGTGCCTGGCCCCCCGGTCGCCACTCACCTCCGCAGCATCTCCGGGGAGCAGGCCACTGAGTGGCAGAGCATGGAGGTGTTCAGAATCGTTCCTGTGGGAGGGCGAGGGAGGGCAGTATCAGCGGGAGCCTCGGCCATCGAGCTCTCCTTAGGTCCGCCCCCCGCCCGGGTGCCGTACCCAGGGCCCAGGGCTGCTCCCGGCGCTTGGCCAGCCGGCAGGGGTCCCGGAAGCGGCTAAAGAGCTGGTGCTCCTGCTCCTGCGCATGGTCTGCGGAGAGAGACCCGCGCTGAGTGGGCGGGGCCAGGCCGCGCGGCCCCGCCCCGCCGCAGCCTCCGCTTACCTGGCGAGCAGTTGTCGAAGTTCAGGTCGCCTAGCAACACGCTGAAGGCCACGGCATCGTCTCCCTGGCGGCTCTCGGCCTCAAACTGCTCGGCCCAGTCCAGCAGCAGCGTCAGCTGTTTACAACGCAAGGGCCCATCCTCTGCCGGGGGTGGCGGGAGGGCGGGGGAAAGATGGCTCAGCCCAGCGTGCCATTCCGCATCCTGGACACTCAGCCTCACCCTTCCCCGGCCCCCGCCCGGCCCCGATCTGTGAGCCCACCCAGGCATTCCAAGGGGCTCGCGGAGCCTGGGGCAGTGGACAAACGGGGAGGGGCGGAGGGGAGGTGCAGGCGAGGGTTGGGACCCGCCGCCACGCACAGAGGCGGGACGCCCTGCCCACGCGCGGTCGATCACGTCTGCCGGGCTCACCACTCGGCGCATGCAAGTGAGTGCAATGCAGGAAGCCTACGATGCGGCGCCCATCCAGGATGCCCAGATGTACCTGCAACACCACGGACGGCCCCAGCAACCGTCGCCTGTGCCACCCCACGCCCCGCCCCCTCCCCGGCCAGGGAGCGCCGCGGCCAGTGGGCGAGTACCTGTGCGGAAAGCAGTCCTTTGGAGGCCAGCGCGTCCTCGCGACGCCCGTGGGGGAAGGACCAGAAGGCGGCGCGCAGCAGGGGGTAGCGAGAGGCCAGCAGCAGCCCGCTACCTAGCAGCTTGAGATGCGGCCCAGGCTGCAGGCCGAACGTGCCCACGTTGTACAGCACCGGGCCCAGATTGGGCGCCAGGCGGCTTACCAGGCGGCGTGCCGCACGCAGATCAAACACCTCTTGTAGGCACACGAAGTCCAGACCCGCCGGCACCGCGGCTATCAGCATTCCACACGGCGCCCCTGGCCCTGGCGGGCTGCAGCCGGTAGTCCCATAGCGCGAGGGACGCAGGCCGGCGAGCAGCACAGCGCCCACGGCCTCGGCCCGCCGCTGGCCGTGCTGCAAGTTACTGAAGCGCGCCAGCCCATCGGGGAGCAGACACAGGTTGGCGCTGAGGAAGCCGAAGCAGCGCGCGGGCTCAGTTGGGGGGCGCCAGGGCGCGGGGGGCGCCCAGCACTGCGGAGGTGGCTGGTAGCAGAAGGGGCGGCGCCAGACCTGCAGCAGCAGCCAAAGCAGCAGGCCCGGCAGTGCCAGGGGCAGGCCGACGAGCAGCAGCAGCAGCAGAGACGCTCCGGCGCCCGCCGCTGCGCTCAGCCACCTCAGGCCGCTCGGGCGCGCCGCCGGCGCCCAGTAGCCCAGCAGCTGGTCCAGGGCCCAGTAGGCCGGGAAGAGCAGCGCGCAGGCTAGGCCGTGGAGAGCGTCCAGCACAGGGTGCGGGAAGGGTGAGGGCCGTAGGGCACCGGCCGGCGGGGGCCAGGGATTGCATGGCGTGCCGGGCTTCTCGGCCGCGCGGCGCCCTGGCAACTCATTCGCTTCCAGCGTGCGAGTCGATTCGTCGGTGCGTCCGCAGGAGCTGCAGGGGAGTCACAGGTGTCAAGGTCACGTGGCGCAATCTGTGCGCGGAGCCGGGAAGGCGCGGTGCCCGAGAGCTTGGGGGCACGGGCGCAGGCGGAGATGGCGCTTCCGGGACGCCGCCCTCTCCTCACCGGCGCGGAGCCTCGGCGGCCGGCAGATAGAACAAAAGGGAAAGCGAAAGGGACCCTGGCCTCGCGATCCCGCCCCAAGTCCTTCGCCCCGCCCTCCCCTGAAGGCCGCAGGGAGAACCCCCAGACCCGCCCGACGGGAGCGGGGACTAGGGTGCCGCCGGCACCAAGTGGAGGGCGACCTTTTTCATTGCGCGCAGTCGCAGCGCCCGTGAGGGGAATGCCGTGCGCGCTGCGTCCTGCTCCCTCCCTCCCTCCTGCAAGTCAGCGTGGAATTGTCGGGATGCTCCTGCTGGCCAGACTACGGGATCTGCCACCTCCCCCACCCGTATCCCCCCCGGAGCCGCGATGTCTAGCGCCTGAGTTCAAAGACAACGTCTCCCATGAGAGACGGCCTCGGAGTGGATTGACCAACCGCCCACTCAGCGCTCCGCAGAGACCGCCAAAAGGCCGGCCCCCAGTGGTGATGGCACTGTGACCCTACCCCAAAGAGCTTCTAATCTGGGGGGAAGGGACCGTTGTTGGTTTGGCCCTGCGCAGCCGCTCCACCGGGGCACGCGAGCCAGATGGAACCCGGCTCCTCCTCCGCGGAGCCCTCTCGCACCGCTCCGTTGGTTCTGAGGACCGAGCGGCCTCGCGCTCCCTCAGGCGCTGCGGGCCTGCCTGGGCCCCACCTTTCTAATTCGAGCTGTGAACCAGTTCCTACAGCTCCTGCCGTTGGCTTTTAAATTGTCCTGGAGTTTGGGTCAGGGCTGCCCTTCACACAGCTGGCAGGGAAGTGGAGGGGCTTCTGCCGCCCCCCCCAGCCCCCACTTCGCAGTTCTCTAGAAGTCCCTGATCCCCTTTAGAAATCAAGATCCCGTGCTGGGTGTGTTCATTGCTCCTGATTTGTCTTGCTGCTAGGCGTTCTCAGCACAGAGCTAGAGAATCTCTATCTATAGATCTCTACATATCTGTACACAGAGTCCTTCCCTGCCCTTCCCAGGGGTCTGGCTGGATCCCCAGAAGTAGCAGGCCTGGGAGTAGGAAGGGCGGAGAGGCAGGGAGCTCTGGGGCCAGAGGGCTCCAGCACACACAACCCTCTCCTTCCCTCACCCCTCCTGGTTGCTGACACGTTATGTCTGCTTGAGCCCAGACCCTGGGGCTCCTGCGTTCCCTTGCGGTACTCTGGCTGCTCCAGAAGCCTCCTGGGCTGGGGTCCTTGTTGCCACCTCCCACCGCAGTTCCAGCCTCCTCCCCATCCTCGGGCAGGTCCTCTCCTTTCCCCTTGGGGGGCCGGAGGCCACCCTGTGGGCTTCCCCGCACTGCCCTTCTCTCCTCGCACTTGCCCTCCCAGGGACGACCATCCTGGCCTATACCCCTTAGCTTCCTGCACCATCCACAAGCCCTTCCCCACTGAGTCTGCAGGTCACCTCCAGGTGCGCCATCCTATCTCCATCCCGCCTCTGCCCTGCTCTGTTCTGCTTTCCCTCCTGCCTGTGCTCCTCAGCTCTGCCCCTGCACCAGGTGGGGAGAGCCCTCACCACCCCAGGTCTTGGGCTCCTATGGAGCCAGCCTCTTCTTCCTTGGGAAGGGACCCTATCTCCCCAGGCTGCCCCCCCCCACCAGGTTGGAGTGAGGATGCTTTCTTCTGGCTCCCCTCCCTCTATTGTCTTCCTGCCCTCAGTGAGGGTCCAGAAACCCCCGCCCCCCCCCCGCCCCCCTCGTCCCTGCCCAGTACAGAAGGAGGGACTCCCACAACCACATCCCTGTCTCGGTCCCACCTCTGCCTTCTGCTCTGCACCCAGGCCTCAGCTCTTTCTGCTCTGCACCCAGGCCTCAGCTCTGTGTCACCAGTGCTGGTGACACAGCCAGAGCCCTTCCTTGCCAGCTCGGCTCTTTCCCACTTCCTGCTCTTCCCTCTTGAGTCTCAGGAGCTCCCACTGCCGGGCAAGGGGAGCCTTAGGGCCTTAGGAACACTCCCTTGGCCACACAGCTGGTCTCTTTGGTCTTGGGGCTCTTGCCAAGGGCCCCAGAATGGGCATGGACCCACAGGGCAGGCAGGGCTAAAGGGGTGCAGGGGAGGGGAAAGCTGGGGAGCCACCCCAGATGAGGCAGCACCACCCAGGAGTTCTGGTGCAGGCTCTGCGGTCAATGTCTGTGGGGAGCTTTAATGGCAGTTGCAGGGTTTGGGGCAGAGTGAGCCTGGGCCAGCAGGCACTGGGTGGTGTCACCAGATGAACATGGGCTTGCCGTCATCGTGCGCCAACTGGCTGAGGCAGGAGAGCAGCAGCAGTGCATCAGTGAGCATGCTGGGGTGCACAGTCTCCACCAGCACGCGCTGCAGGAAATCCACTGTGTAGGAGCCGCCCTCAGACACAGCCAGCTCAGGCCGCTCGCGCAGGATGCCATAGGCGTTCACCAGCTGCTCAGTCAGTGCCGGGTGCACTCGCCCATTGTAGCCCAGGCTCTGCAGCCGGTTCATGATGCTCACGTAGCGCTGTGTGAGCGTCTGGCACAGCTCCTCATCTAGCTTGCGGTTGCTGGGGTTCAGGGAGGCCTGAGGGGAGAGTGGCCGTCAGGGACCCTCCTGCCCCACACCAGTGCACGGGCAGGCGAGGGGCAAGTGAGGCTGAGGGGGTGTGGTTGCAGGAAAACCACGACCAGAGGGAGTGTGCTTGAAGGAGGTGTCCTGGAGGTCCTGGGAGAGAGGCCCCAAGGGGTCTAGGGTAGGGGGAGCCCGGTGGGCTGAGCCTGAGCCGAGAGGTTCCTGAGGCCCCATCACCTGCTCCACCCACCCCATTCCTGTTGCCTGCTCCACCCACCACCAGGGATTTGGCACTGATCTGAGGCCACAAGGAACTGAGGACAGAAAGCATGGCTGGGAGCCTGGAGGCGAAGGAAAGAGGAGGGGGGCTCATAATGCCCCCAGGGCTGCCCCACCCAGGAGACACCCCTCAGAGGCTTGCCCAGACCTCCTCCTGTTTCCCTGCCCTGCTACCTCTCAGCCTCCTCTCCAGGTCCCTCTTGTCACCTCAGGCTGCATCCTCAGCACACTCAGGCCTGCACATCCCCTGCACAGAGCCCCTTCCCTCCCCTCATGCTGAACTGATGACCTCAGGCCCAGAACTAAGCACCTTCTGTCTCAGTACTAGGGGTCCTGCTGCCCCTCAGGTGCCCACTCCTGGTGCCTGGACCTGGAGACTAGCAGCAACTGGGTCAGTCTCCACCTACTTCTTCATCGCCTGTGCCCCCCTAGCCTCAGCATCTCACCATGAAGTCAGCCCCTCCTCTCCACCCATCCTGCCATTGCCTCCTGGGCATGTGACCTGGGAAGTTAGGACTGAGCCTGCCTCAGGGAGGGCTTCCTGGAGGGAGAGGGTGCTGGGCTGAGATCTGGAGGACCAGGACAATAGAGGGAAAGAAACTTCCAGGCTGAGGAACAGCGTGCATGGCATGAATGATGCCAGGAAGCAGAGCACAGAGTGAGGGGCCCATGGGGAGAGCCAGGTTCAACAGCTGCTTCTGTCACCACACAGGGTCTGAGCCTTAGTTTCCCTGCAGTGACATGGAGAAAACAGCACCATGTGACAGGGCTGTTTTGAAGATTAAAGGAAATGTCTCCACGGGGCACTGAGCATTGTATCTGTGCCAGCCAGCGCCAACACGTGAGGATCCCTATGCCACGGGACACATCAGAGGGCTCTCACATTGAACAGAGTTTTGTTTCAAAGGACTAGAGAAGGGAGGGGCATCCTGGGATGTTGAAGTTTGCCAGGGTGAGACTAGGATCTGGGTGGGGAGGAGACTGCAAGGCAGCAGCACTCTCTGAGCGCCCGGCTCCCATCCTCAAACTCTCCTGCCCCTCGTAGCACCTGTCACCCCGCCTCTCTAGCATATATATTGATGGCTTTTCTTATTTATGGAAGGTCTCCCCAGGAGAGGGTGAGCTCCCTGGGGGCAAAGACTGTGTCTATTTGATATGCACTTGGCATACACTGAATGCTCTGTATTAGTCAGGAGTGAACAGATGGAGGGGCAAGGGCAGCTGTGGACCAGTACGGTGACAGCGGTTTGGACCAGGGGGTAGGAGTGGAGGACAAGAGAACGTAGATGTGGATACGTATGCGGGAAAAATCTTTCCAGGGAGAAGCAGCAGGACCTGGTGTTGGATGTGGAAGAGAGAAGAGGCGTGAGCAAATACACACACACCTCCAGGAGAGCGTGCACATGCTTGTCATTCAGTCTCTCCATCCTGGAACATTACGACATTGACCACATGCTCCGTGATAAGGGAAATGGCAGAAAATGTCACAGAATCAGTGTGGTACAGCCCTTGTTCTCTGAACACAGGGCAAGTGTGTTAGAAATCAACAATAAAGAGACAGCCAAACGCCCCTCAGATAATGGAGACTGGAAAGTGGCTCCTAACTGACTCACGGATTCGAGAGGAGATCTGGTTCAGTTTGTGAGATATTTCTACCTGAACAGCCCCATGCCCACCCGTCCAACCCTGTAGGATACAGCCGAGCGCCACTCCCAGGCAGGTTGGAGTGGTAGTGGATGCACAGGCTGTGAGCCTGCCACATTTCCGACCCGGGGAGACGACAGAGCCCTCTCCCTGTGCCCTGCCTGGGTCCTGCTCCAGGAGCCACGCTGGCTGGCGTTCCCTTGTGCCAGTTGTTAAATATTTTTAATGTCTACCTGACTAAAGGGAACTTCCTTGCCCTAAATGTATATATTTAAAAACAAAAGAGATGTAAAATAAAATGACTTAAGGGCTCAACCCAAGAAAGAAAAATAAAGCAAATCTATAGGAAGAAGAGAGAAGGAAATAATAAAGAGCAGAAATGAGGAAATAGAATCCAAAGGCTCAACAGAGAGGATCAGCAAGACAAAACTGGGCAAAGTCAACACACTCCACTGACGAGGACAAGCGTCCCCACCTGCCTTTCACGAATGAAACTTCCAGTCGAGACCACGAGTCCCGCGGTCCTGCAGCAAGGCCTGACGTCACTAAGTTCGAGCCAATGGGATGAGACTAGGACTGTGAGCTCCGCCCCTGGGCCGAGCTCTGGGACTGCGGGACCCGGCCACAGGGTCGAGGGGGTGGCCAGCAGGGCCTGACAGCCCTGTGGAGAGATCAAGACCTGGCTTATTGAAGCCCCTGCATTTCTGTCACAGCAGCTTGGCACGGTATCTAAAAAGTAGTGAAGCTGCATAAGTCATAAATAACAGCAAACTGAGCATCCTAGTGCGTTAAAAACCACCAGGGATGGGGTGTGGTTTATGACCAGAATATCTGCTCGGGTGTCTCAATATGTTAAGAGAAAAGGAGGAGGAGAAGAATACCATGTGATCATCTCAATGAGAGGCAGAAAACATTCTAAAAAATTCAATATTTGTTCATGATTAAGGAAAAAAACAAAACCTCTTAACAAGTGAGAAAGAGGGAAAACTTTGTAACCTGATGGGGCAGATACTGAACCTGGCTTATCTGGCTTCTGTGTTAGTGCCTGCTAGTGCCTTCCTGAACTCTAAGAGGCTGGAAGCTAAAAATCACTTTTTCCAGAGTCCCCTGTGGCTTAAGTATCCCTGTGACCTGGGTTTCTGCAAGGCAGATGCATGTGGGTGGAACTTCCAGGTTAAAGTGAGCACCTAGAGGAGGCGGTGCACGAAGGGAGAGTGGATTTTCTGGATTGTGCAGTGGCACGTCACTGGTTCTTCAGAGGCAGCTGTACCAAATTTCGGGCATCTGCATGCTGTCCCTGGGGCAGTCATGGCAATGGTGGTCCACTAGGAAAGTCCCTTGGTGTGCTGGCGTTTTTACTGGCTGTGTAGCAAACAAGCCCAATTTCATGTCCTTCCTGGAGCTTCTCCAACCATCTAAACATTTATAACAAACGCCATTCTGCTTATGTCAGCTAGTGGGGATTATGTTATCTGCAACCAAGAACTCTGATTTGCCTAAAGAAGATCTGGCAAAAAGTGTAGAACACACATCATACTTAACGGGAAGATTAGAAGTGTGTGTTCCTAGTCAAGTCAGAAACAGGATGAGGTTGCCATATTACCCGCTTTTTAAAAATACTATACAAGATGGTTGTCTACATAGAAAAGCCAAGACGATATACAGGCTATTAGAACTAGTAAGAGGCTTTGGGAGGGTATCTGGATAACAAATCATTACACAAAAGCATTCTTGGAAGGCAGGCCAGTGAGTGGGATTCTGGAGAGCATCAGAGTGCACCACAGACCCAGCTGGACACAGTCACAAGGCACCACCCTCAGTCACCCTCACACTGATGCAGCCAGACTCCGGGTCTCCTAGGACTAGGGTGCCAAAAGGAAGGGAGCTCAGAGCATCTCCCATAGAGCAGAAGATCTTTGCAATTGGGTAGAAGAGGTGACAGGCATGCACACTGGGACAACTTTTAGTTGGGCTTAAAAGATTGCATAACTTTGAACTTATAAAAAAAAGATGGCCAGGTGCCATGAAAAAAGTCAACCAGTCCTCACTGAATAACGGAGCTCTATTAAAGCTTTTCAGCTGTAAGCTAACAGCATTCATGAAACAAACAACCTCAGTTTGGACAATACCAGGTTTGACCAGCTTTAGTGGGTCTGGGCAGAATTTAGAGATTCTAGCAACCACCAACATTGGAGTTCAACATGCAGAAAAACAAACAAGATATTTTGATGAAGGGAAATAAAAAGCCCGACAAAGTGGAATTAGATGCATATAGGAACCAATGAATGGTCCAGCCAAGCAGGCATGATGGCCTTAAGACCAGGATGCATCTTTATGATCCTCAGATGCGACCAGACATCAGTCAACCTGCTGTGGGCCCTACAGAGGGCCAGCCAGGGAGTGTTCGCTGGGGTCCGGAAGGCAACTTCTGTGCAGGTGGGCTCCAGTGGGGCCGCACCTCAGGAGCTTGGGCAGCAAATGTATGGTCCTGGCAGTGCCAGTCATTGCTGATGGAAGGTGAATGGGGGCAATGGCTCAGGAAGTGGTGACGGTGGCCATTGGGCAGAGTGACCAGATGAGCGTTGTGGTGAGAGCCATAGGCTCCTCGGAGGCCACCAAGATGGCAGCTGAGGCACTGACTCAGGGGACACCAAGCTCCTTGACCTCCTCAAACACCAAAAAAAATTGCCTTACATACGTTTTGCTTTTCTCCTCCTGCCTCTTCTCTAAAGAGCTGCCATTTAGTATCGTGACTGCTGGATTCCACTGCATAAACAATAACTTACCTGCGAGTGAGCAGAGCCCTGGACACCAGAGGACTTGCACAGCCAGCAACTATGTCCAAGATCGATGCATGTTTATCATCTGTTAAACAGGCTCCTTCAAGCAGTAGGAAACCTCTGTTCACAGTTTAATATCTAGTTCTCTGTGGGCAACTAGACCTGTTCTTGTAATGAAATGTAGTCTTTGCCAACGAGATATCAGATGCAGCATTTTAGAGGCATAACTATTGTGCTTCTACTGAATTGTTTGTTGATTTTTTGTGTGTGTGGGAGGAAGATCAGCTCTGAGCTAACATCCATGCCAACTCTCCTCTTTTTCCTGGGGAAGACTGGCCCTGGGCTAACATCCATGCCCATCTTCCTCTACTTTATATGGGACGCCGCCACAGCATGGCCTGACAAGTGGTACATTGGTGCACGCCCGGGATCTGAACCTGGGCCACCAGCAGTGGGGCACGCGCACTTAACCCCTATGCCATAGAGCCAGCCCCTGTCGATTTTTGAATAGCCACAGTCAGTCTGCACTTGTGACACAGCAGTGGGGGCTGCGGTCCTGGACACGAGTCAAGGGTCGTCAAACCAAACATGACCAAAGCGGGCCCTGCTGACACAAGCAACAGAAATGACGGGTGCGTGGGAGTAGCCAACATTGTAAAGATTCGAAACTTCCCCAGTTTAATCTATAAAGCAACACAAAACTAAAAATTTGAACTAGATTTTTTCCTGGAACTTGAGGGACTGATCCTAAAATTCATATTGAAGAGCGAAGGGCCTAGAGGGGCTGAGGCAATCTGCAAGAAGAAAGAGCCCCAGGCTCCATCACCCCTCCAAGATGAGGACAGTATGGGCTGGGGAGAGTCCACACACGTGGGCCTGGGAGAGGGGCCTGAGGCGGGCTGGGCAGCGCCCCTGTGCCCCCACTGCTCCAGCCTTAAGCAAGACATGAAAAGTACAAACGATAAAGGAAAACGTGGATAATTCTGACCACATTAAAATTAAGAACCTAACCAAAGGACACCTGAACAAAAGGAAAGGGCAAGCTCAAACCTGGAGACAGACGAACCCACTGTGACCAAAAATCGTTCCTGCCCAATCACACACCCAGGTCCACAGTCCACAGACAGAGACAGCCTGAGAGGAAGTGCCTGCGGGCACAGAGGGATCACCTGCTCCCCATCCCTGCCAGGTGCCGGCGGCAGGCCCTCTGGCGGTGAGTGGGAGACAGACACCACACACCTGGATGATCTTCTCTGGAATGTTGGAGACGGTGAAGCCGTAGAGGCGCACACGCTCGGGGAAGATGCTGGACAGGATCCTGCGGTCCAGCTGGAAGGCGATCTCCCCCACCAGCCTCTCCCAGGCCAGCTGCTTCGAATCTAGGGACAAGACGCGGTGGAGGGAATGGTCAGTGGCTGTGGTCAGCAGCCCAGGTGAGTGCCAGGGAGGTCTCCAAGGGCAGCAGGGGAGACCACCAGACTCGCGCTGAACCCCCCTGCGTCACTGACCTCGGGAGCTGTCAGGGAACTTGCTGGCCTTTCGGTGGGCCAGCTTCCGCTCCAACTCCAGGATGCTTTTCCGAGATGTTTCCGTGACACGTGGACCCCGGGCGTTGTTGACTGAAGCCGGGGAAGATGAGGTTCGAGGTGGGGAGTGGCGGTTGCGTGGAGGGGAGTGGGGGGTGGGTGAGGGCTGGGTAGGGGAGTGGTGCTCCCGGGAGGGGCAGTGGGGGATGGGCTGGGCAATGTGGGTGGTGCTCGAGGGGGTGTGGTTGGTGGCAGCTTGGGGGGCGGGAGTGGGGGCAGAGAGGAGGCCTGTGACAGTGGGGGGGGCAGTTGGGGAGGTGGAGTCAGAGGCAGGAACCGCTTGTCCCTGAGGGGCACCAGGCTGGGTCTGGGCCTCTGAGGGGCTGTAGGAGAAGGCCGTCATGGGGCCAGGAGTGCCCCCGGTACCGATGGGGGTGGAGGTCTGGATGGGCACACCCACAAATGTCACACTGAGGGGCTCTGGGTCCTGGGTTGGCCAGGGGTGCTCAGTGGAGAGTGGGACTAGTGACATGGGGGGACAGAAAAGAGAAGAGGCGGATTAGAGAAATGCAGGACCAGGGACTGGCCTGGCAGGGGGCCCCCTCCCCCCAGGACCCCCTGCTGCCCCTCCCCCTGCACCTACTACCTTTGGAGGTGGCAGCAGGCCCCGTGCCGGCTGAGGGATGGGGTCCAGAGGGGCATCCTTGGAGCGGCTCTGCCAGCCGCACCCTTGGAGCCTCTGACAGCACCCCATTGCTAATGGGGTTGGCCAGAAGGTTTTGAGACACACCTAGAGGGGCCGCCGTGGAGGTGAGCAGGGGGCTGCTCAGAGAGACGTCCACCGTGCCTGTCATAGGGGCCATCAGGGGGCTGCTTGGAGTCAGGGGGCCAGTGGAAGGCAGGCCCAAGGAGCTGGCCAGTGTGCCCACCTGGGACACCGCCACGGGGCTGGCCAGATGGTTGCTTGGAGTCAGGGGGCCAGTGGAAGGCAGGCCCAGGGAGCTGGCCAGTGTGCCCGCCTGGGACACTGCCCTGGGGCTGGCCAGGTGGCTGCTCAGGGGGCCGGTCAGAAGGCTGGTGAGTGGGCTGCTCTGGGACGTGGGCCCTGGGCCAGGCAGCAGTGTGTTGAGAGGGCCCATCAGGGGGCTCACGATGGGTCCAGATGCGGAGCTAGGCTGTGGACTGTTTAGCATGTCGGCCAGGGGTGCCAGAGCCACTATCCCCACTTCTTCCAGGACAGGTTCGTTTGCTGCTGCCGGGGACGGGGACAGGAAGACACCTGGGGGACACAGAGAAAGCACTGAGACCCCAGGCAGGCCCCTTGGGGCTGGGGGCTCTCTCCCCGCTGTGGCAGGGCCTGGACCAAGTAGCCCATCTGCCTCTGTTGAGCTGACCAACCGTCTCTGAGCTTCACCTCTTAGGTGGGCCGGACAACGACCTCTCTACCTCCGAGGGAGATCTGTGCAGCTCAGTGGATCTCAGAAGAGGCTCAGGCCCCTCGTCTCTTGGTCCTCGGAGGAAGCTAACACTTGCTCTCCCACACAAGGACCTTTCACAGCTGCCCGCCCCTCAAATGTGCCCACTGCAATGAGCTGCTGATCCTTGCTGAGGAGAGGAGGGTCTTCTGGCAGCTGGAACCCCAAGTTGACCCCTCTGTTTCCTGGTGAGGAAGAGTGGGCCTGGGCCTCCTGACCATGTCCTTTTGGGGACAGCCGAGCCTCAGCAGGTGGGGGACTCTCAGGGAGGCCAGAGCTAGAACAGGCTTAGAGCCTCACGTGGCACCGCTGGTGTGCCCGGCCCCTGCCTGCGGTGTCTCCGTGAACAGTGGATGCTGGCGCAAGGGGCCTGGTCGGCCCAGGCACACTTCACACTCCTGGAGCCCTGCGTGGGGGCCTGGGAGCCCGTTTTCCTTGGCTCTCCTGGGAGAGTGCCCTTGAATGACCACGTTAAGGGGAGAAGGCCCCTAGGCCCACAGCAGCTGGGGGAGGGTACAGGGGAGGTTTTTGTGAGCGTGCAATTTAACTGAAAACTTCCACTTTTTTTTTTGTTATAAAAGCAGTACATGCACATTATGGGGAAAGAATAGAAACATAGAAAAGTAAGAAAAGGTGAAAAACCACTGGAGCCCTTTTATCCCACGGTCAGTCCTGCTGTAAAGCTCCGTGTTGCCTTGAAGACTTTCTCCACATATTAATATAGACGAGGGGTGGACAAACGTTTTCTGGAAAGGGCTAGTAGGAAGTATTTCCAGCTTTGCTGGCCATTTCGTCTCTGTTCAGCTACTCAATTCTGCCATTTTTGTGCGAGAGCAGCCACAGACAGCACGGAAATGAATGCACGTGGATGCGTGGCAGTAACACTTTATTATGGACACTACTATTTGAATTTCCTGTACTTTTGCATGTCATGAAATAGTATTCTTCCTTTGATTGTCTTTCAACCATTTAAAGATGTAAAATCCATTCTTAGCTCCCAGGCCACGCACAAATGGGTGGTGGCTGTACGGGTCGCCCATGTCCTTGTGTACCCCACCTCTTCTTCCTGGACCCACAGCACGGTGGCCTCCAGCAGCAGCATTCTCTGAAAACAGCACTTATGGTGGCTGCAGAGGCTTCTAGCTTGTGCAAGTGTCATTGTTTATTGAACCGATTCCAATTGTTGGGCATTTGAATTGATTCCAGTTTTCCCAATGACAAATAATTCTAGTACATAAATCTTTGTTATTGATTTTTTGCCTGTAAACAGACATTTTAGAGGTTCTTAATGCATGCTGCCAAATCTACCTTCTTTAAGACCTCTCAGAAACATTCTGACATTCCCTTGGAAGTCCCTGGGCATGTCACTTAAATCTCTGCCAACGCTATGCTGCATAATGTGTGGCAAGATGTCCTGCCACTTTATTTTCGTTTTAAGTTTTGTTATTTTTCTCTCAAACAAGTAAACTAAAATTGCGTAATCAAATCAACCAGTCTTTTTTATGATTTCTTGCTTTGGCTTTTTGGAAATTTTTGCTTTAGAATCGAAGAGACAAAAAACCTTGTGAGCCAAAGGGAAGTAGCCCATGGAGAGGAAGAACATGAAAGAGAAGGGGCAGCTGGTGGGGCAGATTTGGGGAAGACGTCAAAGAGCCCTGATGGGGAAGAGAGAGGGATGAAGTGGGCGATGGAGATTGAAGTGGGGACATTTGCCCTTGTTGGCCTCTGTTTCCTCTGAGAGGAGCCCAGGGTCTGGATGATATGGGAAAAGACCACTTGGGCAGCATCTTCTGGATGGCGAGAGAGAAGACAGTCATAGGTCACCTTTCCCTGCACAGCCAGGGAGCTAGAGGAGTGCCGTGGTGCCTCACTCACAGCACAACCAGGCCCTCGCAGGGTCTCTGAGGCCCTGGTGATCTGGTTTCCACCTCACTGACCCCCCCCCACCCCAGATCTCCTTGCTGTCCCTCTGGGATGTCTCTGGGGTGTTGTCCCCACTCAGTGTCTCAGTTCATTTTCCTTCTTCCCTCCGACACCGTCTCCCACCAGGCTTTCACTTGCCCTCCACCCAAACACTCATCGAGGCACCAGTGACCCCACGTTGTAGAATCCAACCCTCGGTCTTCAGGCTCCATCTTCCTTGTTGGTGGGTGGCATTCACACAGTGGAGAGCTCCTCCTTATTGAAATTCTGTCTTGGTTTGGTGTCTGGGTTCCTGGTGACCTGGCTTCTTCCGAGTGCTGCTGGTCCCAACTCATCTGCCTTCCTAGGGGCAGCCCCAAGCTTTCCCTGAGTCTGCTCTTCCTCAGTGAGTTGATGCAGCTTGGGCACTGGGGACCAGCTACACACCCTGCTCGCACTCAGGCTGGACTCCAGACTCACACCCTCAACGGCCTGACCCACTTTTTCCCCGGGGTTCTGCTGGGGACTCCAGTTTGGCACTCCTTCAGTTCCCTCTGCAGCCTTGGCGCACTGTCAGTGGGCATCTTTGCCCTTTCAGGAGCTCAGGCTCCATGCAGTGAGCCTCAACACTTCTCTTTCACTCACACCCTGCATCCAATCTGCCTGAAACACCTTCAAATATATCCAGAATCAAGCACGTGGACCACCAGCACCGCCCCACCCTGGTCCACACCAATATTACCCCACATGGATTATTGCAGGAGCCTCTTGGCTGGTTTCCTGATGCTGGACTTTTTCCTCAAACATCAGCCAGAGTGTTCTGCTTAAAATGCCCACCAACTCACCATCTAGTTCTGAGTGCTAGGTTATTCAAGGACCCCCGTGGTCTGGCCTGTCACCTCTCTGACTTTGATGTTCCTCTGATCTCCTTCTCACACCCTCTGCTCCAGCCCGTTGGGCCTCCTTGCTGTTCCTTAAATGCTCCAGGCACACTCTTGCCTGTGCCTTTGCATTGGCTGTTCTCTCTGCCTGGAACACTCTTCCAGTGTGTACAGCCAGCCCCCACACTTCCATCCATCCCTCCTCAGAGAGGTCTTCCATCTAAAATCACCAATTTCCTTTACCTCAGCTGTTCCTTCCCCTTTTGCTGGACTGTTTCCTACTAAGAACTTATCTCTCTCTAGATGTTCTACATTGACTTATTGGTTTATCCCATCTCTCTCCACTAGAATGAAGCTCCATGAGGGCAGGGGTTTGTCTGGTTGCTGCTGTTTCCCAGTGCCTAGAACAGTGCTTGGGCCACAGAAAGTGTTCAGTAAATATAAAGAAAATGATGTGTATATGAGCAGAAATGAAACTTGATGACTAAAAAAAATTGGTCAGGGGCCGGCCCTGGTGGCCTAGTGGTTAAGTTCAGCACGCTCCACTTTGGTGGCCTGGGTTCGGTTCCTGGGCGCAGAGCTACACCACTTGTCAGTGGCCATGCTGTGGCGGTGACCCACATACAAAATAGAGAAAGATTGACAACAGATGTTAGCTCAGGGTGAATCTTACTCAAGCAAAAAGAGGAAGATTGGGGACAGATGTTAGCTCAGGGCAAATCTTCCTCAGGAAAAAAAAAATTGATCAGCATAGGAATTGAGGTCTATTTGACTTGAGTTTGTTCTCCTAAACACTGAAAGCTTAATCTGACCACAGAAGGAAGTGTCTATAAAATGACCTTATATACTGTGACCACTGACAGCCATATAAGATCCAAAATTGAATCAGATAACATGTTACTACCTGAAGGAGTGGTGTGGTCCTCAGACTACAAAGAGTGCAAGATTCATTGGGGTCTACAAAAATCAATTGTATTTCCAAACACTTGCAATGAATAGTCCAAAAATAAAATCAAGAAAACAGCATAAAAAAGAATAAAATATTTTGGAATAAATTTAACAAAAGAAATGCAAAACTTATACTCTGAAAACTAAAAACATTGTTGAAAGAAATTAAAGAAGATCTAAATAAATGGAAAAACAACTCATGTCCAGGACTGGAAGATTTAATATTGCTAAGATAGCAATACTCTCCAGGTTGATCTACAGGTTCAATGCAATCCCTATCAGAATCCAAGCTATCTTCTTTGTAGACACTGACAAGCTGATCCTAAAATTCATATGGATTTGCAAGGAACCCAAAATGGCCAAAGCAATATTGGAAAAAAAAGAAAGTTGGAGGGCTAACTTCCAGATTTCAAAACTTACTACCAAGCTACAGTGATCAAGACTGTGTGGCACTGGCATAAGGATAGACATATAGATCAATGGAATAGAATAGGGAGTCCAGAAATAAATCCATACATCTATGGTCAACTGATTTTCAACAAGAGTGCCAAGACAATTCATTAGGGAAAGAAGAATCTTTTCAAAAAATGGTTCTGGGAAAACTGGATATCCATGTGCAAAAGAATGAAGTTGGACCCTTATCTCATACCATATACAAAAGTTAACTCAAATGGATCAAAGAGCTAAAACTATAAAATTCTTAGAAGAAAACATAGGGGCATATCTCCCTGACCTTAGATTTGGCAATGGAATGTTAGATGTGACACCAAAAGCATGAGCAACAAAAGAAACAATAAGTAAGTTGGATTTCATCAAAATTAAAATCTTCTATGTTTCAAAAGGCCCTCTCAAGAAAGTGAAAAGAAAACCCACAGAATGGGAGAAAATATTTGCAAGTCATATATTTGATAATGGATTTGTATCCAGAATATATAAAGAACTCGTACAACTCATACAATAATAAAAGGACAAATAGCCCAGTTTAAAAATGGGCAAAAGATCTGAACAGACATTTCCCAGAGATGATATACAAATGGCCAATAAAGTGCATGAAAATATGCTCAACCTCATTA